CTGCTCACCAAAACCAGACTTTACTTCATGCTCTTTATCTCAAATACTGCTGATGCTTGACTCATTTTTCCCATAATGCCACTCACCCAACTTCTACTAAAGACATGCCATCTTTCAAGAAATCCAAAAGTTTCATTTATCACTTAAATTAAGCACATCACATGCTCTTTTTGGCTTGGAAGGATCACTATAACTACTACTTTGCTTTGGGGCACCATTTGTTTTTGGGGAGGCAGCTTTTCACAAAATGAAGCACAGGGAAACCTTCATCAGATCACATGACTTAGATAAAAGTGATAACATGGGATGAGAGCTTCTCTGCATCCACTGAGCTGCTTGATGCACACTCAGGAATCTAAACTCTTTGTTTTTGAAATTTGACTTTTTTCTTTAAACCAAACTCAGTCAAAACCAAGTGTAACAGATCCACAAATGAGGCAGGTTTACTGTGTATTGATCTTCTATCCTGTGATTATCATTCCCTTTATGCTATTATTATTAGGTTTTTTTGAGACAGTATCTTGCTATGTAGTCCAGACTTGCCTCAAACTCAATGTCCTCCTGCCTCCATCTCCTGAGTGCTAGGATTACAGGCAGGTACACCACACCAGGTTCTCTTTATGTTATTTTGAGTAAAGTGTCTTTCATTTCAAGTGTTAAAAATCAGGCTTTACTTCATATTTCACTTCCCTTTTATAAAAAAGATACATCAAAAAGAAAGCAAACATTTCAACAATCTTTTGGAAAACTAGCTGTTTCAGAACAGTAATCTATAGTAAATCATTAATAAAGTTTATATATTCCACTATTTGTGCTACAGTAAGTTTACAATTACTATTTAGGAAAATTAAACTTATATACCATATTTTTAAAGCTGGTAAGAAGTCTCCTGCTGTCTCTTGAAATCTCTGTAGTAGGAATTTCCTTAGTATACAGTTTAGCCAAATCCAGTCCGCCACCTATTTTTGTAAATAAAACTTGGGCAAAGCACAGCCTCACTCATTTGCCGACACACTGCCCATGCGTACCCTTGCACTACCAGCCCAGTCAAGCTCCTGTGACAAGCGAGCTCTGTGTTCTGCAAAGCCAAAAGTTCACATCTGTTCCTTTACAAAAGTATCACGCTACACCCTGTTTTGGAAATGGTGTACGAATCTGGCAAAAGTTGAATTCTCCCTATCTTAATAAAGAAGAGCTCGTATCCTAATATACAGAGCTAAAGGAGTTCATGTTCCCCTCAAATGCACATGCTGATACTAGCCCCAAGTATGAGGCTACTCAGAGGCGAGGCCTTTGGAAACTTAACCCAAGAAGAGACCCAGACAGTGCTCTTGCTCCTCCAACCACGTGAAGTTACAGTGGGGAGAGGGCTAACATGAGCCAGGAAGCCAGCCCTCCCTCACCAGATGCTTGTACTGCCCAACCTCCAAGATGTTGTATATTGGGCATTTTGTAATAGCAGAGCAGACTGACTAATATGGTACACAGGCTATTCTCCTCCCACATACTCCTTTCTTGAACACTATCACCTAAATTTTACTTCTGTTTTCTTACATTTCAAAGCTTATGTGAAAATTCTAACTAGGGAAAAAAATGCTGAATTCTAGGACAAGTTAAGTTTTAAAGGTAAATTATCTAGATGTGAATAGGAATAATACAGCACACACAAGTGCTACAAAACTCAAATTTATATGATGTTGAAATATTTTAATTTATACATGGAACTGTTATAAAGTGCAACAAGTATATGACAAACATCTTAAAAATCACAAAACAATCAAGAATTTTTAAACTGTTAAGTACTCAGAAAAGTACAAAAGTTTCATTTTAAACATTTAAACCCTGGCTATTCAAAGAAATATATATATACACATACAAAAAATAAAGAGATAAGAAGAATTGTATTGGACATAAACACTAACTCTGGACAACACATCACAATGTTTTAAAGTCTATCTAGTGTTTTGAGATGAAATCTTAAGTTCTGACCCATTAAATATTTTATGATAATGTAAAAGCCTAAGTTTTTGTTTGTTTTTTTTAATGAATATATCAGAGTAACAAGGAAAGAACAAGAAAGAAAAAGTAAAAAGAAAAACATATACGGGTATAAACTGAAATAGAAGCAACCTTAAAAAGACACTGACAGCACATATGAATAAAATAAAAATTAAAGAAAAAAGACACTGACATACACATTTTTCAAATTAATTATCCACCTGCTATTTATGTAGCACTAACAGTTCTTACCCTAATCTGCTCCATCAAGTGTGGAATTTCAACTCTGAAGACCTATGCTAAGTGTCATAGCTATAAACTATATATAAGAAGCATTTTCTCTCTGAAAATTTACTGTAAAGGAGAAACTAATTTTATACAACTATACATCTCTAAAGCAACAACATCCACGAGAATTTTCTGTGGCTTCTAGGCACTTGAAAGGTGACTAATGCAACTAAAGAACCAAATTCTGTTTTATTTTTATTACTACTTTTTTGATTTTGTGAGACAGGATCTTGTGTAGTCCAGGCTGGTTTCAAACTCCCTATGTCACTGAGGCTGGCCTTCAACTCTCAATCCTCTTGGCACCTTCCAAGTACTAGGATTATAAGCGTGCACCTCCACACCCGGCTAACAGTGCAAGTCTAAAGTATTAAAAAGTTAACATCACAGACTGTTACTGCCTTTCAGAAAAACAAAAAAATTTCAGGGCTGGTGGCATGACTCCAGTGATAGAGTAACTGCCTAGCAAAAGTGAGGCCCTAAGTTCAAACCCAGAACCACCAAAAAAACAAACAAAAACCCTATTTTTACCAGATATGAATTTACTAACCTTCCAACTTAGAAGAGTATTACTTTTGCTTTAGGCAGCTGCACATAATTCCTGTTTTCAGTAATCCAAACTGGTTCTCTATCCACTATCCAGAGTAATAAAACACAACTCAGGCTGGACAAGGTAGCTCACATTGTAATGTCAACAACTTGCAAGATGGAGATCAGGACCACTGCTGTTCCAGACATGCCAGGCAAAAAGTTAGGGAAACCCCATTTCAGTCAATAAACTGGGTGTGGTGTCACACACCTGTGATCCCAGCTATGTGGGAGGCTATAGGTAGGAATGGTCTGAATCTGGCCCTGGGCAAAAACACCAGAACTAAAAAATAATTAAAGCAGGAAAAAAAGGGCTAGGGACATGGCTCAAGCGGAAGAGCATCTACCTGCCTAATAAGTATGAGGCCTTAAGTTCAAACTCCAGTTCCACACACACACACAAACCTTTTTCATTGGATATCAAGTATCCCTCAGCATCACTCTGAACCTGTCATCCTTATAAGGTTTTAAAAATAGTATTGTATTGGTATTAAATTATATTGGTATTAAATACTATTTAAAAATAGTATTGTAATGGTACAAAGAATGTTTGCTTCACCTGAAACACCATCAAAATATTCTTTACCCTAGTGTAAAAATTAAAATTAAACATCAAGAATGTTTAGGTGCTGTTTACAGAAGAGAGAAGCCCATATATAGACAGTGTTGATGGAAATTAAGTTCGAGGCCAACCTGAGCTACATAGGAAGATTGAGAACAGTCTGGGCTGCACAGCAAAACCCTATCACAAAAAAAAAAAAAACCCAAAATAATAATATTAATAGTAATTCAGTTCTTTAGTTATATTAACCACTGAAAGTGATGATACCATCAAATAGGTAGAGGCCCTGATGGAACAAAAGTGGAAGGAGGAAGCCAGGCAGCACATGCAAATACCCCTCTTCCTGAGGGGATCTGTCCACTGCTGCTGCTATCACCAGGGACATCAGAGTCCAGCTTCCTCATTCAGCTTTTCAACGTGGACCAGTAACTCTCTAGAGGGCTTCCAGGCCTTCAGCTTTGGACTGGGGCTGCATCATTGGTCACCTTTGTTCTAACGCTTCCAGATCTTAGATTGAACAGCTACTGGGTCCTCTAGGTCTCCAGTGTGCAGGTGGCCACTGTAGGATTATCCAGCTTCCGATCGTATAAACCATTCTAATAAATTCCCTTTTATTACGTGAGTATGCAGATGCTTCTATTCCTCTAGAGAACCCTGACCAACACAACGGCACACTAAAACAGAGGGGGTGACCAATGAGACTTAGAAAAGTGCTAATCAAAAGCTATTGTGTGATTCCTTATCCAAAACTCTCACAGTCACATTTCAGAATTCAGAAACACACTGATGTCATGTCACATGTCAGTATTACAGTATACCGTGTTTAACTACCTTTTATATACCTCTACAGACAAATTTACATCTTAGGGCAGCTACCTAGTTCCCACCACATGTCTACCTCGGTACTCAGCTCCTATTATGCATCTCACAGTTACCTTACAGTCAACATTCATTTACTTAGAAAATACTCATCCTGTGTTTACTACATAACAAGCACTGTACTGGGATACCCACTTGAACATGCTCCCGGCTTTCAGGGCTCCCCAACTTGGGAAGCAGAGCTTCTCTCTCCCATACTGTTCAAGTCAGGAACTAGGACATCCTTGACACCGTATTTCTTTCCCACACCTCCTATCACTCACTCAGTCTTTCTAAATCTCTCTCCCATCTGCTAACTTCACTCCATTTCTCCACTGCCATAACCTAAAGACTAAGCCACCAGCCCTTAACTGGAGCCAATCCCACTCCCAAGGGACATGTGGAAATGTGCAGAAACATTTACGCTGTCACAGTTCAGGGGGTGCTACTAGTACCTAGTGAGTAGAAGCCAGGGATGCTACTAAATATCATACAATGCACAGATCAAGTTACCCAGCCTCAGGCTGAGGTTAGAAACTCTGCTTTAAGTAAACAGAAGACTGGCATATAACAATGATTTTTAATATTTATGGCAGTTCCTCAGGAAATGATCACAATTCAGAATTATTTTAGTATAATAAATAAAATTCTATTTTTTCCACTTCTACTGAAATGAAACACTGAAGTGCACAAGAACATGAATACTCACTTGTGCATGCTCTCCACTCCTATTATAATCATGATGCAGTAGGAAATCCCACTTTGTACAAGAAAATGTAAGGCATACCTACAAAAGGTAAGAGTATTGTTAGAAGAAGTCACAAACATCAGGTTCAAATAATTTAGGCTACTAAGTACAACTGAGAACATTCCCATACAAAAAAAGTCAGGAACCAAAACTCTAACACCTACATAAAACTCTGTGAGCACCCTGGAGGAGGGTCCCCTATCACAGGCCCCAGGAACTTAATAAATAAAGCCAACCCCTAAAAACCATGCTCAGTGCCCCAGCATTCCACATCTCCTAGCAACAGGAAAGCTGTGTGGAGTTCTGTGGCTCAAGGGTTACAGCTTTATTCATAACTCAAGGCACAATGGTTTTAAAAAGAAAAAATAAACATGGATTTCAGAAAAATTCTTAGGGAGTATCAGCTATTTCCCCAAACTTCTCCAATACAACCTTTGTACTCTGCCTTTACCTTAGAAACAATATTATTTACAAAACAAAAAATACTAAGAATTACAATTTACTAAAAGATACTCAAATCTATTATCAAAAAGTGACATATAAATCTAGCCATTTGTTAATTTGCTGTAATATATCTACTAAATATTCTGCCTTACATGATACAGTATTTTCTAATATCCTAATGTAGAAATAAACCATTAAATGAGAGAGCTAATTTACTGACTCACTTCAAAAAATGTAGGAAAAAAAATGACTTGGATCTTTGGGGTTAAAATCAATGCAAACTATCCCTGCTTCTCTCTGTCTGTCTGTCTGTCTGTCTCTTTCTCTCAATTTCTTTTCCTCTTTGGTGGCATATTTTATGATAAAAACTTTCAAATCATTATACACAGTTCATTTAATCACAGGATATCAACCTATAATTAAAATTATTTTTTAATTTAATCATTTTGGAGTAATAGGCACTTCCAGTGTGGAAAAGTTGCTGTAATTTTGAATACCTTTTTTCACAGACCTATTATAAACAAGGAATAGGCTCTAAGGCAGGTCTGTTAAAGAAACTTAATTTGCCCATTGTACAGAGTAGGCCAGTCTGTGTCTCAACTCCCGCCCCCAGACATACATACATACATAACACACACACACACACACACACACGCAGAAAACCACACTGGCCTAGAGTGCTGCTATAATCACAGGGCAGGGAAGAGTCAAAAAAAAAAAAAAAAAACCCTATGCAAGTATAAATGGAAAGAGAAGGAAGCTTACAAAAAAAACTTCATGTTTAAAATACACACTTTTGAAAATTATTCACCTCCTATTTACTCCCAATACGTAACAAGTCACTACCAGATAATGTGAACTTGTTGAAAGGGACTGGCAGATAATTGAATTGTAAGGACTCTTAAAATTGATAGATTTCATTAAAGCTACTTTCCTTTAAAAAAAAAAAACACACTTAAGCATTTTTGGGGCAAGTCTTCCTTTCTATGAGTGAGTGTCCTTGGAGCACAAGGACACAGAACAACTTGAAACTAACCGTTTGTATTTCCCTACAGCACTGTTCACATGGCATGCTCGGCAGTCTTGAGGTCACTACAACATCTTGGCTAAGCCTTTGCTCCCACGGTAATGCAAGTTCATCAGTCCCCACCTGGTCTGTGTTTACCTCTTCTGAAGATCTCCACATCAAGCATCTAGCTGCTTTTCCACTCGGTTATAGCACTGGTGACACTGTTCATGCTCTCCTATTAAGCTACACTACTTGTCCTCACCAGGAAAATGGGCATAAGACATGTATAGTGGCCACTTGAAAGTTTTCAGGATTATGAAGTAACACCCGAAATATGTTGACTGGATTAGCTGTCATAGTAAGCAACCAACTACTAAGTATTATTAGTAAGGTAAAAATTAATCTATCTTACACAGATGTTTAAGATGCCTTCTTCTGTTTCAGAGTTAAGGAAACTAAGGCCAAATACCTAGTTACACCCTAGCTGAAATTCAGATGTTTCTGGCCAACTTATCCATTGGCAAATTCTTAAAGGGGTGGGGTACAATATATACCACAACCTTTCAAACTGCTTAAGCAGTTTAGTAATAAAACAATGCTTATCTCAAAAGGTCAATTTACTGACGAATAAAACATTTTATTTCTTTTGAATTTCAAATCACACTAAAGACAGGTATAAAACTTATTTCTAGCAAAATAAAGCACAAATTTTAAAATGGTTAAAAGCTTCTCTCTGATTGTTCAATTAGTCCTTGCTGAATGTCTACTTTTGGGGGTGGGGTGGATCTGGGGGTCAATCCCAGGACCTTCTGCATTAGATTGAATCACTAAGCTACACCCCCTGCTCCTGAATGTCTATTTTCTAAAAACCACTGTTATAGATGCTAGAAATACAAGAATGGATGAGACAGTCTCTGCCCTCAGAGAGCTCCCAATCTAGAGACAAACAAACAAACAAGTAGCTACTTCAGTGCTATATGCAAAACACTAAACCAGTGGTGGTGAGTCATGTCTATAATCTCAGCCACTCAGGAAGTGGAGATCAAGATGATGCTGGTTTAAGGCCAGTATGGGTAAAAAGTTAGGGAAATCCTCATCTCAATCAGTAAGCTAGCACAGTGGTGCATACCTGCGATCCCAACTACTTAAGAGATTACAGGTAAAGGGACTGTGGTATGAGGCCCACGGGCAAAAACATAAGTCCCTACCCTGAAGAAAACTAAAGCCAACAAGGGCTGGGGCTGGGGCTCAAATAGTACAGCACCTGCCTAGCAAGTGTGGACCCTAAGTTAAAATCCCAGAAAGAAAGAAAAGAAAAACACTAAGAGATTGGATAAACACAAAAATTTCCAATCTGGATCATCAATTAGATGATGGGAATACAGACTGAATATTCCTAATACACAAATCTACTCAGAAAGTTTCACATTTTGGAGAATTCTGGGCTGCAGGTTTGTGGATTAGAGATGTGCAACCAGTAGGTGTATGCAAGTATTCAAAGTCCTAAGCACTTCTGATTCTAAGAGTTTAGGACAAGGGATACTCCACCAGTAACAGAGAACTGAGCCTAAATAACCATCCTGTTCACCATGACCAGCTACTGTGCCATGCTTTCTGTAGTGCAAGGCTATCTGGTTCCACATTATAGGTGAGGAAATGAAATTAAGTGGGTTCAAGTCACACAGCTGCCAGAACAAGGCAACCAGACCCAATCTGGGTCTGTATGACCTCAAAGTCTAAGTGTTGGGCTGGCAGAGTGGCTCAAGTGGTAGAGCACCTGTCTGGCAAGTATGAAGCCCTGAGCTCAAACCCCACTACTACCCCCCTACACACACCAAAAAACAAAAACAAAATCTAAGTCTTATTTCATTAACTTATAGTGCTACCAAAGATATTTCAACAAATAATTATAAATTAATTCTCAGTTAAAAGTAACTTGTAAGCTGTGTGCTACTGGCTCTGTCATCCTAGCTACTTGGGAGGCTGAGATCAGGAGAATTGCAGTTTGAGGCCAGTCTGGACAAATAATCCGTAAACAAAATAACCAGAGTAAAATAACCAGTGCAAAATGGACAGGAGGTGTGACTCAGTGGGTAGAGGGTCTGCTCTGCAAGCTGAAAGCACTGAGTTCAAACCCCAGTCCCATCAAAATAAAAAGTTAACTTGTAGGTGATAGTTTTAAAAAAGTGTCAAGCACAGTGGCTCATTCCTGTGATCCTACCTACTCAGGAGGCAGAGATGGGAAGATCACAATTCAAGGCCAGTGGGGATGGGGGAAGACTGCGAGCCCCCATCTCAGCCAATAAAAAGCTGGGCGTGGTGGTGCATACAATGCCATCCCAACTACATAGAAAGTATAAGTAGGAGGATTGGAATCCAGCCCATATCCAAGGTATACGGATGAGACCCCACTGAAAAATACTTAAAGCAAAAAGGGCTACAGTGTGGCTCTAGTGGTAAAGCACCTCACCTACCAAGTACAAGGCCCTGAGTTCAAACTCTGGTACTACACCCCTTCTCCCCGCCAAATAAAGAAAGAAAATTCAGACCAAACGGAAGTAGGTAAAGTGGTTAATGGTCAATTATATTTACAAAGCACAAACATGTCCTCCAAAAAGAAGCTATAAAAATCAATAATAGATATGACTGCCTTTGAGCCTAATATACAAAGTGCTAAAATGCAAAGCAAAAGAATACTTGACCTTCCCATTAACTACTTCCTACTTGCAAAGAGTTATCTTACACATAGTACAAAGCATACACAACCCCTTCCCAAAGAAAGAAAATACATTTTTAAAAAAAAAATCCTAGCTAGGCATTGTGGAGAATGCCTGTAAACTCAGCAGTGCCATACCACCTGTAATCCTAGCACTCAGGAGGCAGAAGCAGGAGATCTCCAGTTGGAGGCCAACCTGCACTACATAGCAAGATTTTGTCTCCAAAAAAAAAACCTTATTACCACATATAACTTGAAACACTTATGACTACTTGACATTACAGTCAGACAATCTGTGACGCCATCTTCCAAAGCATCTCAGAAGGCTTTACAACAAGGGAACACTTCTTCAGTAATGGATAGCAGCAAAGAGACTCACCCTCAACTCTGGCCATGCCTCCATGCCACAAGACGCCCACGTTAATCATCCGTTGAGTCCACAGATCACAAAGTGAAGGGTGCCCATGGCCAAGCTGAACTACAAGCCTTCTCTAACCCCTCAGGAAAACATGCTACAAATACATACTGAATCCCAAAGTTATTTATGAGTGAATACATAGACTGAGATACGCTTTAAAATACTCTAGAAAAATAAGTTGGGGAAAGGATAAAAAAGAATGGTAGGGCTTTAATTACTGTTGAAGCTGGGTAATAGGCACATGAGGGCTCTTCATATTATTCTCTGTACTTTTGTGTCTGAAAAGTTTTACAATAAGAAGTTTGAAAATAAATACTACCCCTGGCAAGGTGTTTAAATAGAAACTTAGGAAAATTTTGATGACAAAAACTTGTTGTCAAGGAGGTGAAAAGGCCCGTGGTTCAGGTATCATTTAAGTGACTATATTTAAATTTCAAACTATGCTCATACCTACTTATGGCAGTGTCTATGCCTATTAAAAAGGCTAGTCCTGGGGTAATATGGTAGAACCAGAATAAATTATCTTTAATTTGTCATGAGTTTCCAGGAAATATTCGTAATCACCAGAGTGTATTTCAGCCCTCCTAAAAATCAAAAACAACAGCCTAGGACAAACAGAAGTGTTATCAGAGCCCACAAGATCTATACCCTACAACGGAAATTTCAAAGGACAGATCAGGTGAGTCCGCTTCTCTCTGGGGAAATCCTCTGTCAAAACACAGCCTGCAGAACAGCAAGCCCAGAGCCCTGGCCTATGAGTGGTGAGCACTGCAGCTCTCTTAACTGCTCACTCAGAAGGAAAAGTCACAAAGGAGCCCTTCCAGTGAGTTTCTGCTGATATGCCAAGAGACTGTGCTCCTTCCTGTCCTGCTTTTCTTCTGTCTGGAACAAACAGGAAGGGTAGTATTTCTGTACTGAAAGCTCTCAGGGTAGCCCGATGAGTGAGAAGGGGCTAACAAAAGGAATCACAAACATCCCATGTGAAGGTCAAAAATAAAAGCTTTCCATCCTAAATAATTTTTCTCCACCAAGAACTAAAAAATGCCTCTTTTTGCAAATGGTAGAATCTCAAACATGGTAAGAGTTGTATCAATAGGCATTACCAGATTCTTAAAAGCTGACTGCACAGGAAAAAAAAAATCATGCAAACATACAACCAAAAACAAACAAACAAAACCTATTTAAAATGATGTCTTGGTATCAAAAATTTGCAAAATAGGTGAAAAGAACTGCTAATGAAAGACTAAAATGTCTTTAAATATCCTTTCTTAATCTTTCCTTTTCATTTAAGTAGTAAAAGTCCTCCCTGGTCCAAACTAATGAGAGAGCCCATTATCCATCGTTTTTTTTTTTATTTTAAAAATAAAAAAATTTAAAGTTGGCCTTGAGAAAAAACCTTATAAATAAATACAAGAACAGAACCATATATAGTGTATCTTTCTACACACTCAATTCTCAAATATATCCAAATAGTCTTCATTTAAACATGATCAAAATAATTACTTACCATCCAAAGCAAAAAAATGCAAGATAAAGGCCCAAAAGGGTAGCAACTATGTGTCTTATAAAAGAACTAGTTTTGCTTGAATGTAGATAAGTTCGAAACCAAATGGCTGCTAACAAGGCAAAGAGTTGGCACACTACAAAGTTGACCTGTAAAGAAAAATTAAAATTTTGTATTAGCAACAGACTTGAATTTTTCATTTGATGTTACATTTAAATTCTAAGGACAAAAACATCATAATGATTAAAACTAAGATCTTCCAGTTTATAGAAACCAAAAACAATAATCTGCAATCTTCCTAGGGATAAGTCTCAATCTCAGTGATGGGCTTTCAAAGCACTGACTGTCTGTACTAGATCTGGCAGGAGAAGAGTGTGCTCAGGTAGGGGGAGGGGTGGAAGGGCATCTGGAAGAACATGACAACAGTGGATACACAGAGATGGAAAGCACAGGACATGCTATGGGTTAAGGGACAGAGAAATCTATTTGAATGATCGCAGTGTCCCTTTAACTGGTAGAAAGAAGAGTTCCAAGTTTCTCACAATGCTTGAAAACAGGGTCAAGCTCCTCCAGAGTCCAGAGGCTGTGAGAGGCCTCCAAGCTGCAGACGTGGTGGAACGTGGGGCTGGCCATGACAGTGGCAGTGCAAGGGGAGCTGCTGTGGTTTAACATCACCCCTGTAAACAGTAGGCACCAAGGGGCTCAGCTAGAGGAATGGCAAGGACGAATGACAACAGATGAGGCTGACTTCAGAAAGCCAGGTGTGGGGTGGGGAGTCCTCCCAAATCCACCGCAATACTCAAAGCACACTCTCCTCATGTGCAGAGGTGAAGCCACACAGGTGATCCCGTGGCTGCTTTTCTCTCTCTACAGACAGGGCAAAGAACAAGAGTGTCTTGTGGAGTGTACAGGTTCAAGGAAAATCTCCATTTGCTCTTATAAGGCACAGTCTCACAGAATGTTAAGGAAAATGTGTCTTAAAATCTATCAACAGAAGATACCTCTGTCTAAAGGCACAAACAAGTAGGTTCTTGTCTCACATTACAAGGAGAAAAACAGTTGAACATTGTAGTACTTTGTCTAAAAGACCATTGTTCTCTGAAACACACTCTATACAAGGAAAATGTCTTTCCAACAGGTTCTAGCACTTGTTCTCTCTGAAAGCATTTTAAAAAATTAAGCCAAAACTAAATACATCAGGAAAATCAGTATTCTTGACACCAATAATTATGTGTATAGCTTCTTACAATTTAAAATGTTTCGAATACCTTTATGTATAAAGCATCTACAATGGTCAGAACATAGGAAATCTAAAAACCCAAAGTCCTAGCACCAGCCCAGGTTAAGTGTAGAATCTAACAGAAGAAGCAAACATATACACAAGGAATATCAATCAACATTAGAGTGTCTTTTTAAAAACTGCCTTAGGGGAAGAATTCCAAGATGGCAGCTAGACTTAGGAAGCAGAAAGCGAGCCTCCTATAGTGAAATCTTGGAGAGACGCTGAAGACACACTTTGCAGGCATAATCACTGAGAAAAGGCATAACTTTGACTCCTCCACATCTCCAGCCGGTGCAGAGAATCTCCACTTCACGTTAAATAGAGAAACCAGGGCGGCACCCAGGCCGCCGGTCACCTGTGTGCCCAGACGGCTTGGGAAGACGCGGACCAGGTGAGCTTCGCGGTACCGCGGTTCCCCCACAGACAAGCCTGGGCCAGAGCAGCATAGCCCCCTGTACAGACTGACGTCCATCTGGGATAAAAAGAGAAACTGAGTACTAAGCAATAAGAACAGTTAAGACACGCTGGAAAGAGGGTGGGGCGCCCTGAGCGCTGAAGATTGGGGGAAGGGAATCCTTCCCGGGACTGTAAATAAACGAGCTGGGCGGGCCGGAGAGGCTCTGACAGGGGCGGGGCGCGCGCCCAGCAACCAGGAGCGGGGACGCTTGTGAGAGGAGAGAAGACCCACTTCCCACGTGAACTGTAAATAAACACGCAGGCCTGAGAACACAGGTGGAGTGTCACCTTTCCCAGTGCTTGGAAAGGGGAAAGCCTGTAGCAGAGGCCCCCGCACAGGAGAACTCTGAGCAAACAAAGCCTGTGGGACCAGGTGAGTGCTAAGCTCACCCCAGAGATCTGCATAAATAACGCCGCCAGCTACAGGCTGAGAGCAGCAGGCAGGCAAGCCACAGTTGCAGATACCACTCTCAGAACTGCCTCCAGACGCTTTTTTTTCTTTTTCTCCCTACCTTTGATGAGAGAACAACCGAATTACACCTGCAAGCCGAAAAACTTACTGAAACTGTATTGCATTTGAACTGGGACACTTGGTGGGGCTTTTTTTTTTTTTCTTTGTGTGTGTGAGTGTAGTTTTGTTCTACTTTATGCATCCCCTTTGATGAGACAACTACAGAACAACATCTGAGGCACCAACTCCAGGACTGGAGATTGAGACGGACACCCAAATTATTAAGACTGAAACTGCATTGCATATAAACTTGGAAGTTTTTTGGTTTTTTTTTTTAATTTTCTATTTTCCATTTTATTTTAATTCATTTTTATATATAGATATTACTTTCATATACTTATTTTTTATTTTTTTTATCTTTGATTTTCAATCCTCTCTCTGTCTCTCTATTGTCTGTTCAGCTTACTGTCGATTAGTACACTAACACTCCCTGTTTATACCTTTGAAACTCTCTTGTCTGATACCTTGTTCTGCTTTCTCCCTCTTGTCTGTATATTTGTTTTCCCCTTTTCTTTAACTTCTTGCTTTCCATCTCAGCTCACTCTTCCATTCTCAATATTACCATTGTTATTATTACAAGCTAGAAAATACTTAATTACACACAGTACAGGGACAGTAACAACACCAAGGACAATGACGGAAGACAGAAAAAACAGGAAACCAGTTTCCCCACAGCAAAAAATTAGTACAGGAACCAGAGGGGAATGAAGAGAACAGAAACTCAGATCCAGACTCCAACAAAATGAAGATAAACTATGCCAAAGGACCCAATGAAGCCCACAAGAATAATTTAAAAGAAGACATACTACAAGTACTCAATGAGAATTTTATAGAGATGATACTGGATAGGGTCAACCAAAATGTACAGGAGACACTCAAGAAATTCCAAGACAATAAAAATAGAGAATTTGAAAAAGCAAAAGAAGAAATAAAGGAAACCATAGAAGCACTGTATAAACACCAAAGTGAAAGAGAGAACACAATGAATAAATGGATAAATGAACTCAGGACAAAAATAGACAACAATAAAGAAGAAAACAGCCAGGATATGGAAAACCTCAGAAAAAAGAACGAAACAGAACTGCAAAACAAAACGGAAGGCCAATCCAGCAGAATAGAACAAACAGAAGACAGAATCTCAGAACTTGAAGATGAAATGGTAATTAAAGGAAAAACTGAAGAACTATTAATTAAACAACTCAAGACCTGTGAAAAGAAAATGCAAGAACTCACTGACTCCATCAAAAGACCAAACTTGAGAATCATGGGCATCGAAGAAGGAGAAGAGGTGCAAGCGAAGGGAATGCGTAATATATTCAACAAAATAATAACGGAAAATTTCCCAAATCTAGAGAAAGATATTCCCATACAATGCAAGAGGCCTCCAGGACACCAAACAGACCAGATCAAAATAGAACTACTCCACGACATATCATCATTAAAACAACAAGTTCAGAAACTAAGGAAAGAATATTGAAGGCTGTAAGAGAGAAAAAACAAGTAACATACAAAGGTAAACCCATCAAAATCACAGCAGACTTCTCAACAGAAACATTAAAAGCAAGAAGAGCGTGGGGTGAGATCTTCCGGGCACTGAATGAAAATAACTTCAACCCCAGGATACTCTACCCAGCAAAGCTATCATTCAAAATAGATGGAGCAATAAAAGTCTTCCATGATAAGCAGAAACTAAAACAATATGTGACCACAAAGCCACCATTACAAAAGATTCTGCAAGGGATCCTGCACACAGAAAGTGACACCCAACTTAACCATGAAAAGGCAGGCAGCACCAAACCACAGGAAAGAAAAAGCAAGACAGTAGAGAGTAACATCAAGTTAGGTACACACAATCAAACCTTCAAACAACTAAGACAACTAAATGCAGGAATCACCACATACCTATCAGTACTAACACTTAATGTTAATGGACTTAATTCACCCATCAAAAGACACCGTTTGACAAAATGGATTAAAAAGAAGATCCAACAATTTGTTGCTTACAGGAGACTCATCTCACGACAGAAATAAGCATATGCTTAGGATGAAAGGCTGAAGAAGATTTACCAAGCCAATGGCCCCCGAAAACAAGCAGGAGTAGCAATACTTATCTCTGACAAAGTAGACTTCAAACCTACATTGATCAAACGAGATAAAGAAGGACATTCCATACTAATAAAAGGGGAAATAGACCAAAAGGAAATAATAATCATCAATCTGTACGCACCCAATGTCAACGCACCCAATTTCATCAAACATACCCTGAAAGACCTAAAAGCATATATAAACGCCAACACAGTGGTTGTGGGAGACTTTAACACTCCATTATCATCAATAGATAGGTCATCCAAACAAAAATCAATAAAGAAATCCAAGATCTAAAATATGCAATAGATCAATGGACCTAGTAGATGTCTACAGAACATTTCATCCAACCTCTACACAATATACATTCTTCTCAGCAGCCCATGGAACCTTCTCCAAAATAGATCATATCCTAGGGCACAAAGCAAGCCTCAGCAAATATAAGAAAATAGAAATAATACCATGCATACTATCTGACCACAATGCAGTAAAAGTAGAACTCAACAACAAAAGTAAAGACAAAAAACATGCAAACAGCTGGAAACTAAATAACTCATTACTTAATGAAGAATGGATCATCGATGCAATAAAAGAGGAAATTAAAAAGTTCCTGGAAGTCAATGAAAATGAAAACACAACCTACCGGAACCTATGGGACACAGCTAAGGCAGTCTGAGAGGAAAGTTTATAGCCATGAGTGCATATATTAAAAAGACTGAAAGATCCCAAATCAATGACCTAATGATACATCTCAAACTCCTAGAAAAACAAGAACAAGCAAATCCCAAAACAAATAGAAGGAGAGAAATAATAAA